ACTATTTTACTAATTTTAGCAAGCTGTGATTCACAATCGCAAAATATTTGGTTACAAACTACGAAGCTTTGATCGATATTCAGTCACATATACGAGGATTACGACGGTCTTTAAAGTGCGAACTGTCTGGTGTAATAATGTTTAAAACAGTTGACTCCTGAGGTCTCGTTTTATAAACAGACATAAACCTCATTTCCAGGATGGCCTGTTTTCTTACAAGTTTTCTCAGTGAATATCACTCTGAATGAGCAATGTATCTTTATATTATAAATGCACCTATCAATGTTAAGCCCCAGAGGGAGGGGGAGGGGGGGGGGTCGGGCATAGGTGGAGCATTTGATTTTTTGAGCAAATTTTCAATCAAATGCCCTACTGTTGGGCAATAAATATTGGTCAAATGCCCCACCATTTTGCAATAAATTGCAAGAAATACTATGTTAATAAAAGTCATTCGGTTCAAATTGCCCCAACTCAGGGCCAAAATGCTAATCAAAATCCCCAGGGTGGGGATGCAATTGATGATCAAATACCCCACATATGCCCGACCCCCCCCCTCTGGGGGTTAACATTGATAGGTGCATAAGTGCACTCATAGTTCTGATACCCCTGGTTTAAGCTAAGGAGTTAGGTCACATTCTTTTGTTTACCTTGATCATATGCTAATTATGTTACTGGTGGATTTTGTACAACCTACATAATTAGTCTACTCTTGTTTATTGCAGATTTATCCCACAATGACACATTCCTTTCTGGATGGCAAGTTACAGTACCAAGACACACATATCTTTGGAAACTGAACATGTATACTGTATTTTAATACATTCTTCCAGAAATTATGTCACCTTGGCTATATATATATAGTCTCATTTTCACGATTGAGACATTGGACTTTAACTCATGCCACATACATGAAAATGAGGCTCCATAGCCAAGGTGAAATACATTCCGGAAGGGTGTATTTGACTTTTTTGAAAAATAATTAGCAGTAAACAATTTAAAAAACAAAAATGTATAATTTTAATTGCTATAAAACTTATTTACACTTCAATAAAGTTATCATAATCATATAATTATTTATGTTGTTATGCATGGTATTATAATTATAACTAATTAATTTTGTTGTTCTGCATGTTTTTCTGCATGTTGATGCCTCAGTGCCATCTTTTGTGTATATTAAACATATAATTTCTGCAAAATAAAAGATGACATTATTATCATGATACATTATACATCTTTAATACATCACAAAAATATCATATACACATATGTTAACCCTTCACAAGTGCCACATGGCAATGTGTCGTGATATGCCTTACTGTATTATTTTAATCTGCCTAATGCCAGACAATTTTACTAGTCAAGGGTGCAATTACATGATCTGTTTTTACCAAGACCATTGATCTGAGCTTCAAAATTAAATGTCATGTTTCAATATTCAGCAATGCAATTACATTCCTAACTAAAATATGTCATGATCATAATTTCTCACAGGCTGTGTCATGGCCAATTGGACATCACTACTCCCAATGTTAGAAATCATGGGTGGATTTATTTGGGGGGTTAAACCCCTCTAATAAAGTGTTCAACCCCACCAAAATTCTGCTTCAACCCTCCCATTTTGTGTGAAAAGCTTTAACCCAAACACCTAACCACTGCAAAAGCTCACTGAGTGGTGCTGCTTGCACCCCACCAGAAATTTTTCTACCCCTAGCTCCTTTTAAATAAATGAAAATCCGCCCTTGTTAGAAATGTTGTAGCATTCCAAATTTACTTCATGATTAGTGTATCAGTGACTCACTTAAATCCCAGCAGCTTGTGGGCAACATTTTTGTTGCGCCAACAAGCTATGTAAAACTATATAGTAGTTTTACATAGTTCTAAACAGACAATGGCAAAATGATATCTATTTTTAAGACTCTTAATCCCTTGATGAGTAGAACATCTGGATTTCATCTCACAGATTGAGTAAAATAAGAAAGTAGCCAGGGTTCATTGCAGCTTAATGGACTGACTATATATCTCTAGATCAGGGGCTGTTCATTTGCCGATAGTGTAATTAACCCACTGTGTGACAGCAGGGAGCAGTCTCATTTAGTCTTAATCCCCTTAAGATCGTCTGGCATTAGACAGAATAAAATAATAAAGACAGTCTTTAGGGCTCATCAGCACAGGGCACATGGATTGTCACATGTAGGTGAGCCTCCTCTACGGCTCAACTCTCTCTGGTCTTGTGCTTATCTACATATACTAATTCTGCACTGTGATGGGCAAGTATATAAATTTCACACCATATTTAATAAACGTTTTAAAATATACGAACATGTAAACAACCACAATTTTTAGTATAAATTAAGAACTGGCAGTCTGGCAATAAAACCACAAAGGCCAGTGCTGACACAAAACAACAATTTCATGTACACAATGTTTAATCGTTAACAATACTTGTATGTCCCCTAATGAAATATTTGCTGTATATTTTAGGATGATTAGTTTTTGACATAATATGAAGGGTCTAGTGACTCTAGAAAGTTATAAAAAAGTTTCGTGAATCTTACCTGAAAGAATTAGTCTTTCTTTGTAGTGAAATGCTGCATCCACAAGCGAAGCAAACCCGCACCCTCGCTCCGCGTTGTAAAACAAGTAATGTTCGAGGGAAATATTAAGATTTTTAGCTCAAAATGAAAAACAACAGAAAACTTGAAATATCTTAAAATGTTTCTGTCCAAAAACCAGGGGGGTTAAGGACATCGTCGAAAGCTTAGGATCGCGGTTGGTCAGTGGCAGTTACCATGAAAATTTCGGAAGTGTTGCCATGGAAATGGCGTAAGATCCGCCATGTTTTTGGCGACACTTTTTGATCCCGAGCAGGTCCTCCAGTAATATAGTATAGCTCAGTGGTGTCAATGCTGTTTTTGATCTGCTGGAGGGTGAGTAGTCACATAGTAAGGTACGATACTATCCCTCCAGCTATTCAAAAATACCATTGACACTAAAGAGAAGCTCAGATTGAATCTCCACTCATTGAGTGTGAGTGTGAGTGAGCTTTTAGAATACGGGCGTTAATCGGTTATGGATATCTGAGTTTACCGTCAACGTTTCTTTGATGTAAGCCGGGCATTCGCCATAAAGATGTTTGTGAACCAAAACACACATCTGAATTTTGACTTCACAGAAGAAAGGCAACCACTTTAGTTTTTTGAAGAGCTCGACACTATTCGCTGGCATGTCAGCATCTAATATGACCCTAGCAGCTCGCTTTTGTAGTCGCAAAACCCTTTCTAAATTTTCACGAGAGCACGCAGACCACACAGTTGAGCCCTGGTTGAGCCATACATCATCGGTTGTTTAATCAGAAAAACCTTAATCTATCGTAGGACGCCAATTCGCAGCGACAGCTTGTTGCAAAGAGCGTGGACGTGTTCGTCAAATGTCAATCTCATATCTATCTTTAGTCCCAGCATACTGAAAACATCAACTTGTTCAATATTAGTGTTGTTTAATTCAATTTGCAAATCCAAACTTGCCAGCTTTTTATCTAGCCGTTTTCCCGTAATGAGCATAAGTTCTAATGGAACCATGCAGTCACTGAAAAACCCTGATAGGGAGTGTGCTATGTAATATCTGTATCTGTATATTCTTCTGGCAAATAAGCACCGTCATCCCTATTCAAAGCATGATTACTCATGTATTTATATGCCACGCTTCTAGGCAACGTCTTTGGCCATGGCGATTGTTAGTGGTGATGACTCTAGAATTTTTCCACGCAATCACGTGTTTGGTGTGACACATGCACATGTTCTGCTAAAGCTGATTTCCCCTTATTTAAAGTTGAAACAGCCTTTTGATGTTCTTTTAGGCGTGTGTCAAACTGGCGTTTAGACTGACCCAGATACTCTTTCTCACAGTCACTGCATGATATAGAGTATAGAACACGAGTTTTCTGATTTGTTTGACTAAACGGGATCATTCGGCTTTTCGAAAATATGGCCTAAAGTCAAATAAGGTTTTAAGGCAACCTTTATATTACAATTAAGATTCTCTTGATTGGTTCTGTAACGCCTGAATGTATGGAACTACTGCATAACCCTTGACAAAGGTATCACCTTCAGAGTTATAATGGTTCTTGCAGACAGTAATTGGTTTCGGGCGATCATTGAGAAAACTTTTTGGGTAATCGTTTTCCCTTAAAATATTAAGTACATATTCACGTTCATTAGCTTGAGAATCATGCACTGTTTGACGGCAAGGATTCAGCTTTTTGAAGCAAAGTTTTTGGCACGTTTTTACACGAGTCGTATGACGAATATTTGTCTGTGCATTTGCCTGGGTTTTCGATAAACATGCACCAGCCTCCAGATATTATACCTGGTTGTCGTGAACTCACAAACTTTAAAATTAACACAAACTGAATTTTTCTGTGTTGGTGTTGTGTACTCAGGTGAATAATATGTTTGCGATGTTACTCTGAGTGCATATCCACACCGGGCGAGCTTGAAAAATATGCCCGGCCACGGTGGGATTCGAACCTACGACCTTTGGAATACTAGCCCAATGCTCTTCCAACTGAGCTACGCGGTCAGGACGGTTCGAGTAAGTGATATTTCGGAACAGTATCTAGTTCCTTCTATACCAATGTGTTCTTACTAATATGAATTTTAAATTCATATTAGTAAGAACACATTGGTATAGAAGGAACTAGATACTGTTCCGAAATATCACTTACTCGAACCGTCCTGACCGCGTAGCTCAGTTGGAAGAGCATTGGGCTAGTATTCCAAAGGTCGTAGGTTCGAATCCCACCGTGGCCGGGCATATTTTTCAAGCTCGCCCGGTGTGGATATGCACTCAGAGTAACATCGCAAACATATTAACACAAACTGTTTTGTTGTTATATAATTTTTGTTAGATCATCTACAAACATTAGTGGTCGAAGTGGACATTCTAATTTTTCTTCAGACAATCGCGGTATAGAAGCCGGTAAGAAATATTTACATTATTTCATACGGAGGTCGCGATTCATTTATGGATTTTTAGGCAATATTTTTTTGTTTTAAGGTCCAACCTATGAAACGACTTCAGTAGCATGGTTCCCCACTGAACCAACAACATTAATTGCTGGGCAAGGAGGCAAATTTTTGAAAATATTTGATGTTAGAGATAAGCCTGGTACGTGTATAACTGTACAAGTAAAAAGTACACTTCCAATAGAAACTATTTTAATGAAAAAACAACTACTTTAATGAAAAAAAAGGAATTGTATATAGTATACAAATACATATTAATTACTTTTTATGTAGACACTTTTTGTCACCCCTTAAATTTATTTTAGTTTCTGGTCAATATCAACTTTAGCGATTGTTTAAATGAACCAAAAGGAAAACAAGGAACAACTAATTCCAAAAGATAAAAAACTAATTTGTTAGTTTAAAACTCATTAATACTGTTTCCTGATTATATCGTTTTAGAAGCCTATTTTAAGCCAAAGTCGTATACCAATACTAAAGCTGTGTATGGCGTTTGTGTTGATCCAAATTTTGAACATCGAGTGGCTTCGTTTTTTGAGGTATATATTGTATATTATACTTTCCTAATTATTCGTCCTCTGTCTCTGTATTTGATATTTCGTATTCTCGTTGGAACTTTAATCAATTTTATTATGAACTGAGCGCACATGTCGAGCGCATATCATTTCTTATGTTTCACGAAATGCTTAACCTTAGGGCGACCAAGGAGCTGTTCTTGTTTGGGACGTTCGACATTTTGAAAAACCTGTATCCTTTTTTACAATGGGTATGCATATAGTTATTATACCGAAAAACATACTGTTTTAAAACCAACCTATAATGAACGACTTACATAGAGTGTATGCCACAGGTGCATGGAAAATGTTTTTATCGTTCTGGGAACCTGTGTTTAGAGCTCAAAATTGTCTGCAAAAGATTACGATAAAATATTATATAGGGAGATGTCTTTTCTACCTTATATATATATGGATTATGTTCTTACGTTCTTAAAAATGTGTTGTCGTATGAAGCAATATGTCTTAAAGGTAAATCCTGAAGTAGTCGTTAGTTATTAATGGTTACAGTTTTACAGGATTATTGGATTAAAAACAAATATTAATTTTCTACTGCAGGCCATATGCCAATTTTCATTCCGAACTGTTACGCTGTAATTTATATAGGTAGCGTGTTAGTAGATTAACCTGCATGGTATTCAATCATTTCAATAATCACGCGTAGTTAGTAATTTAGATATTCAATCAGTGTAATTTTCAGAATTCGCTATCAAACATACATAAGAAATGTCTGCAAATTTCTGCAAAAATATAGATCCCCCCAAAAATTCTGGGAACTACTGTAGGTTCCGCGAAAAGCAAACGGTTTGTTACAACGATGCGCTGTGATTTGGTTCCATGTCAGTTGAGTCAATATAGTAATTTTGAGGAGTCCTGTTAGCACGGTAAAATATAATATGGATTAAAATAATATTTGATGTATATTTTTCAAATCTTTATGAAAATATATGCAGGATTGTACAGTAAGCCAAAACGAAGGCTTTTCAAATCTTCAAGGCAGGTTAATTTAACTATATTAGCCTGCGTGGCAGGCCCTCAATTTTATGGGGGGCCTGATTTGCAACGGGCAGGATTCTGGCTGGCACGGGGGAGGATTCCTCTCCCGTGCCCGCCAGAATCCTGCATGCCCGTTGCAAATCAGGCCCCCCATAAAACTGAGGGCCTGCCTCGCAGGCTAGTTAACTATCAATATATATACAGTTATAGCAAATTATGTTTGATGTTCTTGACAAAAGGCAGTTACTTGCTCTTCCCGGTAAGCATGTCATTCAAATAGAATGGAATCCGACAAGGTTAGTTACTGTAAATTACGATAAACGTTATAGGGAATGCTTAATACTCGTTAAAGAGACCCGTCACTAGAGGTGTGCATCGGATCGGATTGGACGTTTTCTAATACGACAATTGCCTAATGTTTAAAATCCGATCCGATCCGAAATTGTCTAATCCGAATCCGATCCTATCCGAGTTTTGAAAAATCCGATCCGAAGAATTCTTTAATAAAATAAATTTCTCATTCAAGTTGAAGTATTTAACCAAATAAATATAAAAGCAAGAAATACATGTCAAGATGCTGACAAAGTGACGTCCAATTGAAGTATCAAACGAATAATGCAGCGACAGCCACGATGATGCTTTGATAAATGCATGGATAATGAATTCTTGCGATAATGCGTGGATAATTAATTCATTTTATTTCGGATATCGAAGTCCGATCCGACTACGAAACAACTTTATCAATCCGATCCGAAATGAATATTTTGGTTCCGAAATCCGAACGAATCCGATCGGATCGGATTTTCACACCTCTACCCGTCACATTTCTAAACATCACGCCCATTGCATGCATGGATTTTTTTTATTCGAAAGAAATTTCAGTTTTATTTTGTTTGTTTAATTCTTGTAATTGTAAAGCCTCTTTGGTGAATATCTATATGATTGCATATTTTTCAGATCTGGATTGTTGGCCTCCTTACGGAAAGACGAAAAAGTTGTTCACCTTCATGATATACAGTATGGTTCACCCGGTGAGTATATACTCGTCCAAACATTTACGTTTTCCCTGCAGCTTCTCTTGCATAGTTTTCTTAACACTAATTATCATTTAAATAATTTTCTTTCACGTTACGAACTGTGTCCGATGTAAATCGTATTGAATTGTTTATATCTAACTTTTCTAACTTTTTCCTTTCACATTTGTAAGACCTGCCAGGAATACATAAATTTAGCATGTATAGTTTGATCCATTTGCATGTTTTGTTTGATCCATTTGTTCCTGTGGAAAACACTATCATTTTTTAGATTGAAAAGTTTTCAACCGAATGCCCCCATCTTCATCAGTGCAAATTTCGTATTGTTTTATATGATGTCATAAATAATTGTGCATGCTGCCAAATGCTGCCTGTTTCCCACAAAATGAAATGAATTTTATGTAATTGGTTATTCGCTGACACTACAGATGGTTTCATCATGCTTTTAATGGATTTTGTAGATGGAAATTTCCAGCATTCAAAAGATAATATACAATTTTAGACCTAATAATATACATGAAAACATTTCTCAATTCAGATTGCCTAAGAGCATGGTGCAATTTTTTCGAAATACAGTACCAAAAAATGAAATACAGTGCAAATTTCATTGACTATAAGATACAGCCATTTCTAGCAGAAAATAATACAAAAAACCCCAAACATTTACAAGTGACAAAATTGGCTGGCGTTTTTAGTAGATTTTCTATTAAAATTACTTATATTAAAATGAGCTATTTCGCATGTGACCTACGCACGCGCATATGACTGCATAATTTTTCATGTATATTGATTAATAATATGGTTTCTCGTGCAATTTGGGAAACATACACTCGTTTCAAAGACTTCAATCACTTTGATCGTCTTTGAAAAACTCACTCGTGCATGTTTTTACCAAATTAGCCATTCCGAAGTTGATGAGTGGACTGGGTACGAGTGTTAAAAAGTGCCCAAATTAAGAAATGAACCAAATCACTAAAACGACCACCTCAAAATTAGTAAGTATACAAAGTTTGAAGACGTTTTCATGAATACCCTTCGAATAATAAGCTTTCGAAAATTGTGAAATTGCTGATTAAAGATTGTTTTTGGGACGCGCGTCCCATAAACACAAATTACAGTACATTTCATAGTAAATATCACGATTTTCGAAAGCTTGTTATTCGAAGGGTATTCATGTAAACATCTTCAAACTTTGTATACTTACTAATTTTGGGGTGCTCTTTTTAGTGATTTGGTTCATTTCTTAATTTGGGCACTTTTTAACACTCGTCTCCATTTCATCAACTTCGGAATGGCTAATTGCACCCGAAACCATACTATTACCTATATACTAACCACGAGCAGTTGCGAAAATGCAACTTATAGTAACTATATAGGCCCCGCGCACCTAAATCATTACTGGATTTAATTTAAGAATAACATAGAGCAATAAATAAGCTAGATATTTTATAAACATTCAGGTGTTGCAGTCACGGAGGAATATTATACATCACGACCCGATTTTGGGTGACAACAATAATATAGACAGCAGAAAAAACCTCTGCCTGAATCCGCCAGGAAATTGCCTTTTCCAATTCGTAATCAGGCGATAAACATGTATAGCTCTATAGGAAGAAACCTGCGATACTTTGGTGAGAGTCTGTGATATGTGGTGGAAGTCAAACAATTACGTAGAATTATGCGTTGTGACGTCACTTACAAAAGCTGAATAGCCAATATGCGACGCTATAGTATACATAGGCATCATAGCGCGGTAGCTCTATGTATATCCCAGTCTATAGTATAATTATAGTGTAACATATTACATACAGTATATGTATTTTCAGTTGAAATCTTTAAGAAAAGTTAAGTTATTTATCACTTGATGATTTCAGCTTATGGAAATGCAAGTCATGAAGCTGAACCTACATCCTTCGAAAGACATACTGGAGGTAAATAAGGACCCTCTGCATAAAATCAAATTAATTCAATTCATTACTAATTGTGCACACGTAGACGCTAGGAATTTAATCTTAAAAATATAAATTAATATTTATGTTATTGTTTTAGCACTATTTTCAAAATATTCGCAAAACATTATTTACAAAATATTATTTTGCAATATAATTTTCTTGAAGTTGGATTATTAGTATTTTTCGTATTTTAACGGACCTTATTCAATTTCAATCATTAAGAATTCATCGACATATTGCACATATTGCCGTAGGTGCATGATAATTGGATTGCTTTGTTGTGTAAAAAACAACTTGGTATTGCAGAATTGCGTAAATTGCTATAAAAATTGAACAAAATGCGAAGACCATGCATGACTTTCTCGGCTTTCGTCAAAATATTTCGCATAATATGTTTCGACCATTTTTGTTGAATTAAACAACATTCAGAGAAATACAATGTACAGTATTGTTTCAATTTTTTAGCATTAGACCATAATATTTCTGGATTGAGTTGGCATCCTTCTCATGAGAATAGGATGCTTACCATATCTCCTAAAGGTATTTAATTATTGTAGATTTCTTTAAATGATATTCTTAGTTATGCTATAAGCTTTTAACTGTCTTATATTGTTGAAAATACTGTAATTTCCCGTTGATATATATAGGTGGCATTCAGGATTTAACGATATTTGAGAGAATTTGTTTGGTATGTACATGGGTTCTTTGCGTGATATACCTCTGAAATACATTTTTGGTGTCATGCTGTGGTGCCAATTCTCTAATTATAAATGTGTTATATAAATTAGAGAATTACCCACTGCAGCCTTAATTTTGTATTCTGTTCTCATTTACTGTACTTTGTTATTTATTAGCGGCAATAAAATTTAAATTTCGTATAACTTTCATGTGTTAGCATGCAAGCATGCAGTGAATGCAACGGAAAATCCATACTCAAAAACGAAGAAAACTAAATTTTATCGCCATATTTGCTCATGACTTGGTAACCGTCTCAGTTAAGGCGGATTTCCATTCGTTGCAAAAGGTCGCGCGATCGCTTTCTTTTGTCTCATGAGCTCTCGACTAGAACGGTTCAAGTCGAGTGCTCAGGAGTCGACAAAGAAAGCGATCCCCAAACTTCGATTGCACGCTACTGTAGCTTGCAGTGAATGGAAATCCGCCTTAAAAGAGGACAATATACAGAAAATGAGAACAGACTACACAAGCGGAAGTGGAGAGGGTATGCATGTGTCAAAAATATGGTAAGTGCACCTAAGCGAACGTTTCGTATTGTGGTTGTCGTAGCATCACACTAGTTAACAGGTCTCACTCTCCTATCTCTCTATACCTTTTGTTATTTGCACTTATTATTTACGTTCTTATAGGTGCCCTGGTGACTACAAACTATTGTACTAAACAAAACTTTCGTTCCAAAGTGTCTACAGGAGAACTTGTTAAAATATGACGGGGAGAGAGCTGGTAACTAGTGTGCTTCTACAACAACCATAGATATGGCAACCACATAAACATTCCAAAATGTTTGCTGCAGAGGTGCACGTTCCAACTGCACCAAATTTCTTTTAATTTCGTTGAATCACTTCAGAGAGTTCCAACCAGTGACGTCATAACACAAAATACATCATGTTTGATAACTTGGGTTGAAATAATGATGCATTCTACTATAATTTTCGCTTCTGCATTACTTGCACTTTAGGCACAAGTGACCCCTTGTTCCTCTCTACTGCATGTAATAACCATGCAGTAGCATTAACATGATAATAACGTTTCGGTGTATTAATTGTTGTCCATAATTAACAGAAGTAGACATTTTCATTTATTTATTAATTTGTTTTCTTGTTCTCTCTCTGTGATTTAGAGCTGGTCTCCAAAGTTCTCTTTGGCATGGGGTTGTGGTCGTCGGCTTATCCAATGTAGTGGAAAGGTAAGGGCTTTAATAGTTTTTCAATGTTGGCGGAGACGCGATAGCTGTATAGTGGAATAATGTTTTTATTGACGTTTCGTCAACCAGAGAAAAAGGGACCGAAATCACGGGGTTCCGACATTAACGAGGTGCCGTAAGGGTTGGGATAACTCTATTACTGTAAATATATACCAGAGTGGTTATAACCTGTTTGTAAATTCAAAAGAGTCAAAACGACTCCGACTCCAAAGGAGTCGTTTCGACTACTGCATCAATATTGAATTTACAGTGATAAATCTGCATGTTTTTTAATTGTATAGTCTGAAATAGACGAAGATATATCAGTGAAAATGTACAAAAGGGCTTGTAATTCATACGGTATAGAATGGTCAAACACTAAAACTGTCGAGGATCAACGACTTGCAAAGTTATGGGCGTGGTTTAGCCGTATCCTTTATCAAATGTATAAGCTTGTTCTAACTCAGCTATAGAAGTAGACGTGTAATAAGATTTATGGTTATTCCTTTAAACAGTATTCTTTAAATATGTGGTTTTTGATAATAATGTGGTTTTTGAGCACGTTCTTGCTATATTCCCTGATGAGTACAAGTTAAAGTATGGGTGATTTGTTCTGCTTATCTGAAAGTCCTCTAGTCGTTTTTAATATGTTGTATTAGTGCATGTCAAATGTTCCAGTTACTGATCCATTTTATAAATGGCAAGGTAACTGTAATTATATATTTTTAAATGCTTTGGTTGGATCCTTAATAGAGTCTTAGGTGTGAGCCAAATACAGAAAATAATAGGTATAAGGTACCTCTGTTGTTGATATATTTGTAAATGGACTTTTTCTTACTATGCATGGATATTTTCAAGAATGTAACTTTCCGGGAATTGCAAATTTTAACTGCATCGTACGATTACGTTACTTAATTTTCTTTTGTTATATTCTAGATAATAAATTTAAGATGATCAAATATCCTGGTGTAAAGTCAGTAATATGTGGTGAAGCCAGTCAACAAAGCAAGTTAATAACTACATGCTAATTTGCCTTGTGCTATTATAGTGTAATATATCCATCACATTTATTTCAAATCTATTCTATGATTTTTACTATGTATTTTATTGTGTTTTTATGTCAGGTGTTTGTCCCAGATCAAATGAGTTTCGAGATCCTAGGTTGCTGGCAATTGTGTACTACAGTGATGAAAGGTTTGTTTCCACAAATACCTAATATCTCGTCAGTTTTACAGTAAAGGGTTTTTTATATCTACTGTATAGTATGGATCTTTACGTTTATTTTACGTTTATTTAACTTCGCCATTATCATGCATTCATGGCAGGGTCACCACAACAGTATGGTACCAATTACTGTGGGCCCTTTAAATAGATAATAAAACACAAATAAAACACAACGAAAGCTTCGATTTACCTGTTCAAAGTCATCGATCACACGAATTGAAACTTGAAGCTAAGGAAACAAATTCCTCGAAGTTTTCGTTGTATTGTATTTCACAAACATACTTAATTAGCTGCTTGCAAATTTTATAAAACATATAACAATTCATAGAATATAAAATAGCTATTGAAACATAATAAACAAGGCTAGGAATACCTGACAACTTCGAAAAATAGATCAAAACAGTAAAGAACCTGGACGTGCACAAATTGACTTAACATCTAACAGATACAGTATACTAAGTGTGTGTATAAGTTCGAAGAGGCATTTTTCAATCCACCAAATGGTCTGAAGAAATATGTCTGAAGAAATATTGTTATTATTGCATTAATTGCAATGATATAAGCGAGAGAATGAGCGACATGCAGTCAATTAGGAGAGGAAACAACCGTTAAGTCTTTTATATAATGTACTTTAATTTAATTTGTAATATACTGATGTTAATGATTATTGTATTCACATGTTTTTTAAAGGCAACTTGCTCTTCAACTGTGTAATTGGAATTTTGATTTGGACAATGGCGCAAATTTGAAAATGTTTCTAAATGAGTAAGTTCTTTACCTTCTTCAAGTGTCTTCTGAGGTATTGTTTTGTTTAAAATTACGTGTTTTAAAATAACCATTTATGGTAATTTATTCTGGACTGTTCTTTTATATATTCCAGGCATGCTACACTCTCATTAATAATTCACGAACTTATACATAATATAATTTTGCACCACGTAGTTTTCTTGATGCCGTTGTAATAAGGAAATTTAATTTTCTCAACCTTACTGTTGACGTACGTGGGTATACCGTAATGAGGAATAATATATTACAGTGCGGATCCATGAAGAATGGTCGGGGAGGTGCCTTCTGCCTCCGCAACAGCCACTGCATGCATGTCCATAAATAATAAAAATCTGGGTGTGCAAATGGTGGGAAAGCTTATTCTGTACTTAGTTGATGTACAGTTAGCCTGAAAACAGACCTTCGTTTCGCCCGCCCTAAAATTCGCGGGTCGACGGAAAGGGCGAAACATAGGTCTGATGTAGCCTCCTCCGCAGGCAACTCTGTGGGGGCCTATAATAGGTAAAAACTTACCAAAAGTACTCTTTATTAACTTCATATTCAATAAATTTGCATTGCAAACCACTTGAAAACAAGAAGAAATTTTGATATTTCGTATATTAAGTTCATATACGAGTTATTTTGACCGCGCACAACAAAAAATTGTCCTGGAGACGAGGATAAGGGAAAAACAGGGGGGGGGGGAGAAGGACGAAAGCTGTCCCTAATCCTCCCCCATCGTCACCTGATACCCCCTTCTAATACCCCGTTTTCCCCTCATTCTCGTCTCCAGGACACTTTTTTTGTTGAGCGCGGTCAAAGTAATTCATATAACCAGTATACGAGTTTGCAATGCAAATTTATTGAATATGAAGTTAATAAAGAGTACTTTTGGTAAGTTTTTACCTATTATAGGCCCCCACAGAGTTGCCTGCGGAGGAGGCTAGGTCTGATGAAAATGTTGTCAAAATCGCCTTCCGCCCACTTTGCATTTTGCAATAATTAACGATGATGATTGACACATTTACATGTAAACCTAAAAATACAATGAAAGTTGTCGATTCACTTTATTGAAAGTTTGTAAACAAAGTAAGAGTCGATAAGTACAGATGTTTGAATAAATATTAAAAATATTGGTAACCCCATGCAGTATGTTGCTTTTATGTACTCTTAACCCTTGTAAGCAAACAGTTACAGCTAGTAATAATACAACATTTTCAACACATTCTATAAATGCAATAAAATCTGCCTGCGCAAATTTGGCAATGGCCATGTCCCATTGTTGAATTGCATCCAAACTCTTACAATTTATACATTTTGAAACCGCCATACAATGGTAAAATCTAAATAAAATATTTTGTACGTGCTATATGTTATCGAAATGTAAATCATAAACACACTATTGCGCTGATACATATTTGTATCATTGTATCAGTTTTATTATCATTATCACAAAACGTAGATAGTGTAAAAAATATTGTATTGTATATTACATCGAAAAGACACAACGCTGAAATATTTGACACGTACTGCTCTACTCCCTTCTAGTTTTAGTTTTAGACGGTAGATACTGTTAGACTATAGTTGTCGCTTGGCTTCACAAAATATTTAGAATATTACACTATATGCATATGATATGTGTTGATAATACCGTTGAAATATATTCTGATCTTTTAATGTTAGCGACCAACCAATCACAACCCATTTCCCTGTGAATTAGCCAATCAGCTATTCCGACCACCAGGCGGTCGGATTCCACAGCGTTTTGACATGATTTTCCTCAGACCTTCGTTTTACGTTTCGCTAGCTCACCCCTAAGCATCCCACCCGCAAAATTTAGGGCGAGAAAAACGAAGGTCTGTGTTCAGGCTAATGTACAGTAGTGTCGTTACACCGAGCTTCTGAACCTAACCCAGACCATAACCATATCCCTAATATGAACTGAGTACAGAATAGTTTTTCCCCGAAGGCACTCCAAGAGTTTACTTCGCCTAAAAAGTCACTAGACTACTTTGCTATTCTGAAAATATCAGAAATTAAGGACTGGACTTGTTTGTATATTTTTAAATTTCAGATTGAAATCGAAAGGAATGTATGAGCGGGCTGCTACATTAGCGGTTTTTAACAATGATATACCAACTGCGATTAACATATTGAGTGAAGGTTCAACTGCAAGAGTAGATGGCAACTCACAGCAAGGTACATTATTGTTGAAAATTGTATACATTACAAAGAACAGTAAATAAACGCTTCCTGAAATATTTTCAGTTCACATGGCAGATAGAAGAATCCTAGATTTAGACTTTCCAAAGTCCGCGGTTCGTGGTTCCTGGAAGCGACGGACTTTTGTCACCCGCAAGCGCGCCAAATTCACCGGTGCATTTTTGCTCCGGTGACGTCAGTGAATGCTCATTATTATTATGAACAAAACAATAATGAACTAGTGAAATCGACATGGTGAACGCCCACTATGTCATAATTGATTTTCGCGCCAAATTTTTCAGTAAGATTCAAAATCAGGCAAGTGACACAAGTCACTCGCTTCCGTCTTTCTCAAGCGCTCCCTTCTTGCTACGGGCGGTCCCTAGCGAGCGACTTGGGCAAGTCTATCCTAGATTATGCGCCAGAAAATATGCTCCGCGTGCACAAAAAATTCTGCCTCCCTAATATTTTCTGAAAAATCCTGCCCCCCGTCCTTGAAAATCTTTCCGGCTTCCAAAATGATAGTCTTCTATAGCAGACTGATCTCAGCCGATCCCCTGGAGCGGCAGGGAAACAGTCCGCGATCGATCAACACTAATGCCCTACAGTTACGTAAGCAGTATTTTGCATAATTAATTTAAAATTATTCATGGTCAGACTGATGCAAAGACCAAGCTGTTTCACGAGACTTGCCAAAACTAGTTTGCATGTTAATTGTTTTAATGTATCGACAGAAAAAAGGGACTTAACATCTTCGACTGCTCTCTTAAAGTTTTGTAAATCCGTCATTTTAACAATGTAATTTATGCAATTTTCGGCGAGATCACAAAGGAAAATTTCAACCAAGCCGCTACAGGGTTGGCTGAGATCAGTTATACAGGGTGTATAAAAAAAAACTGCACAGATTTGAAATTGCTCTTAAATTCGCAAAACAGCTATTAGTATCCAGTTTTTGAAAATGTATATAGCTTCTTTGGGTACTTATAATGTAGAAAAATGGAAAAAATTTCTCGGACTCAAATTTTGTAAACCAGGGGGGGGGGGTGTGTCTTTTCCAACAAACTAAAAATGGCTTGCGCACGAAATTTAAAAGCTTTAATCATATTTTAAGTTAACAGATGGAAATTTTGTTGAGTGTTTAATTACTGTACAAAATTTCAGACAATTTGCTTCAGTTTACGCCCTTTAACCATTCACGCAAACTTACATTTTTTCTTAAAAAATCAAATGCAAATGGTTGCATGCTAATTAATGCCTTTGCCTAATTTGCATATGTCAGCAATATGCAAATTAGGTAAAGGCATCAATTAAGCATGCGAAAGGCTAATTTTTTAGAGAAAAATGAATAGTTAAAGGCTTAAACTAAAGCAAATTGTCTGAAATTTTGTACAGTAATTAAAAACAAATGTTCCATCTATCAACTCAAAATATGATTAAAGGCCCTGTTACACGGTGCAATTTTTCATGCAACTTGTCTCGCAATGGCGTTGCGAGACAAGTTGCACGAGTCATTGCACCGTTTAACATGCCTTGCAATGGTCAAAATCGTTGCGAGACAAGTTGCATGAAGCATTGCAGAGAGTAGAAGTCGGTTTTACTTTTGGCAACGATTGCACTAATTATTTTTAGCATTGCAGCGTGTAACATGGCTTCGTGCAACTTGTCTCGCAATGTTTATAGCCTGTAGAGTTCCTATTGGCTCACCCCATTACGCGCTTTACTTTAATTAAAATTTGGCGCCAAATAGCGCCTCTCCCTAGTCTCTTCGCATGCCTCTGTCCCCTATCGTTGCGAGTTGCATGAAAATCATTGCAGCGTGTAACACCTCTTGCAATGCATTATCAAAATCTTTTTTTAAACATTGCGAGACAAGTTGCATGAAAAATTGCACCGTGTAACAGGGCCTTAAAGCTTTTAAATTTCGTGCGCAAGTCATTTTTAGTTTGTTGGAAAAGACACGCCTCCCTGGTTTACAAAATTTGAGTTCGAGAAATTTTTTCCATTTTTCTACATTATAAGTACCCAAAGAAGCTATATACATAAAAAACTAGATACTAATAGCTGTTTTGCGAATTTAAGAGCAATTTCAAATCTGTGCAGTTTTTTTTTTATACACCCTGTATATCAATATCAATTATATATTATTCAACTCACTCCCCATTTGGGCGTTTCCCTTTGGGAGGAAATTGGAGCGCCCGGAGAAATCCCACGACTTTCGGCAGAGGGTGACAAAATCTTTTCACATAGATCCGTCTAGCCACCAAAGCCCCATTGGTATGTATCTTTATTATGCACCGACACTACAGATTTCAAGAACGATCAACTATATGAAGGTTTCTTACCCACGTAGTTCGGAATAGACGACTGATTTGTTAAATGTGTTTTGCAATTACAGTAGTTGAACTATGGTTTTGTACAATCTTAGATCCATTTCTTGGCATGGTAGCCATGGCTTTATCTGGCTATACAGAAGAAAGGACATCGCTTTGGAGAGATCATTGTTTACAATTGTGCAAACAGGTACGTTATTTTATTTTATTTACGCCCGTGCATATCTATACATTACAATTATAAGCACCCAAAATGACACTACGAGAATAGCAACCGATTGTATTGTAAAAATACATCAATTTTGGCTTGCATTTGCACATTACATTGCGACAAATGAATCTCGTTTCCTTTATTAAATCTTGAACCAACGTGGTTGCCTATGTCTTTTGCTTCTATAAATGTATGTATGCACAGGGTGTATAAAAAAAACGCAACCTCGGAATTTCCTAAGAAATCACTTTGCAATTCTTAAGCATAAAAGATTTTAGGCACCTGGGAATTGCTATTAGATCATATTACTGTTGTTGTGCATTAAATAAATGCATAAATTTTGCTTTATGCACTCGCGTCTGCAGTAATTTTGACAGTTGTGCTATTTTAAATTCCCAGGCCCCTAAAATCTTTTGTCTTTAAAACAATGTCAATTTCTTGGGAAATTCCGAGGTTGCGTTTTTTTTATACACCCTGTACATATATTATAATTTGATTGCAGTCTAGTAAAAAAAATCCCTCTTTGAATAATAGTGGTCTGGAGAGGAAGCGGAATGGACTGCTTCGTTTCATTGTTCTTTTTTTTCCTCGCAAATCGCAATGTTCCGTAATATGCTCTCCAGTCACATATTGTTCTTAATAATTTTTTGCAAGCTGCAAAAGACCTAAAAATCAGACCGAAGTGAATTGATTCGTCTTTATATTTGTCCCGACTGCTAAAGCTCAGATAAATTCTCTGTTTTATACATGTTGCATGATTACAATAAGCAAATTTTAAGAGAAGATTCTCAAGTTTGCATGTTGCTCATTCATATTTTATATTGTGCACTTGATAATATTCAACATAATTAATACAAATGTTAAATATAGTTTGTGTATCCAACTTCAACACATACTCCCACGTTCTTCATCATATCATCTGCTGCTCGTGTATTTGGTCACAGCTTTAGTGCCTTCGCTTACAGCATGCTTAGCCAATTCACCTGGCAAAAGAAGTCTGACTGCCGTCTGTATTTCTCGAGAAGAGATCGTAGACTTCTGATTATAGTGAGCCAAACGTGTCGCCTCTGAAGCAATTCGCTCAAATATATCATTAACAAAGGAATTCATGATATTCATTGCTTTACTTGAGACACCAGTGTCCGGGTGAACTTGCTTGAGAACTTTGTAGATGTATACAGCGTAACTTTCCTTTCGTTTTGCTTTTCTCTTCTTTCCTTTCCCATCAACAAGAGGTTTTATAACTTGTGCTGGTTTCTCTGTCTTCTTGCTCCCCGCAGTTTTGGGAGGCATTTTAGTGTATGGTACTTCTATCCCACTGTTTTGCTGAAGTTTTTTTCTTGTGTGTGAAAGCAATTTGGTTCTGCTTCGCTTTATATCGCAGACAATCGGATCAGTGAAACAATGGCGTATTGATATCATAGTCTTTCATTGGCTGAAAACTAAAAACGTGGACGTCTGCGAAGACAGATCGTATGCAAAACAGATTTTGATCTACAAAACGCGTTTGATAATCAAGAGCAATAGACAAAATTTGGCTGATGAGTGATAGCTTACCTGCCTGGTTAGTAATTGTTCTAGTTTACAGAAGCGTGGTGTAGAACAAAGGTACTGTAATTGAGCAGTTGAACTTTAGAATTATCTACACGAGTGAATAACTGTTATACAATTATAATACTTAGTTACCTTTGTTCTATTGTTTGCTTCTGTAAACTAGAACAATTACTAACTACAGTAGGCATGTGAGATATCTAAGCCCTGTTTTATACGTCGAATGCATTTCAAACAATAGATAATGAAGATTAATGAGGTTTATCATCTCATTATCTATTGTCTTAATTGCATTCAACGCGACCAAAATTCGAAGAAAAACAATTGACTGAAGAAAACAATTGCACGAAACAGTACGTAACAATGGTATTAAGTTAATCGTTACTCTGCCTGAACAATGAATATGTCACGTATGTCAACGTATGCTTGCCTATAGTTATACAGGGTGTCTCAAAAAACCCCAAAATCATTGAAATTGACGTATTGTTCGATATTCAATGCCCTAGCACTAAGTTAATCCCACGAGTGCATAAAAGGTTGACATAACTGCTATAATGAATGGTAATACTCAGCGTAAACTTGTTATGTCAGGCATAAAGTACTAAACCCACGAATGCATATTACGCATATTACAATTTACGAAGCATTTTTAAATTCCCATGAGCAAACAAACGTTCACTTTACAAAGATATTTTAATTTTTAAAACAAATTAATCACCCTGTCAAAATCCTTTGTGTTACGGCATTGAAATTCGAACAATACGTTATTTCAATGATTTTGGGTTTTTTTGAGACACCCTGTACAGGGTGTCCCAAAAAACCCGAAAACTATTGAAATCACCAATAACAATTTAATTGTTAGAATTTGAATGCCTTAGCACTCTGTTGGTTCCCACGAGTGCAAAAATGATTGACATAAGTAAATTTTATGCATAAAGAAACTGTTTAAGAAGCTGTTTTGAATTCCCAAGAGCAGAAAATCGCGCACCGGCTAAACAAGGAGATGTTTTTAACTAAATTTTAATACATGAACCTTCTCAATATTTTACGCATCATTACGTTCAGCTGTTTGGAAGGGCATTCAAATTTTAACAATAGCTATTTCAATAGTTTTCGGGTTTTTTGGGGAAAAAAAACTGAATCCTTTCAAATTCAAATTAGCTATAACGTATTGTAGTAATTTGACAGCTCTAATTGCTTTGAATTAATGGTTGGGTAAGAACACAAGATCTTGTACTCATGGGACAGAACTCTTAAAAACTTTTAAATTTTCTAATTTTTATTTCTTTGAGTTTCGTCCCATGAGTACAAGACCTTGTGTTCTTACCCAACCATTAATTCAAAGCAATTAGAGCTGTCAAATTTCTACAATAAGTTATAGCTAATTTGAATTTGAAAGGGTTCAGTTTTTTTATACACACTGTACTGTACAGGGTGTCTCAAAAAAACCCAAAATCATTGAAATAACGTATTGTTCGAATTTCAATGCCGTAACACAAAGGATTTTGACAGGGTGATTAATTTGTTTTAAAAAATTAAAATATCTTTGTAAAGTGAACGTTTGTTTGCTCATGGGAATTTAAAATGCTTCGTAAATTGTAATATGCGTAATATGCATTCGTGGGTTTAGTACTTTATGCCTGACATAACAAGTTTACGCTGAGTATTACCATTCATTATAGCAGTTATGTCAATCTTTTATGCACTCGTGGGATTAACTTAGTGCTAGGGCATTGAATATCGAACAATACGTCAATTTCAATGATTTTGGTTTTTTTTGAGACACCCTGTATAGCGACTTATGCTTTTTACTTAATAGGTATGCCTAATGCTAATTGTAATCTTACAAAACGTCACTGCTCTTAGAAAGGTTAAAAATGCATTCAGAATTTAGAAGGCGCAACATTGTATTTGATCCCCAGCCTAGTCCCAGTCGTTCTGAAGCAAGCGCGAGAAAAAAAGTGGATGTAGTACGAGACTGGGACCTAGGTGTGACGTCACCGCTCAAGGTGCTTCAGAACGCCTAGCAGATTTCAGTATTTTTAATATGGCGGAAAATTTATATATACAAGTAACCTTTTAATTATAAATACGACAATGTTCGTTCATCATGTACATGTTCGATGTCTACATAACCAAATCAAACTGTATTAAAAATTTGCTCAACAAAAAACTGATTATATACAAATTTACGATACCAAGTTTGAGCAATCGTTGATGTTATTTATGTACTCGCAAGTTGTGATCAACACTAGACCATACTGGTATACACAACTACGCTTTCTACTTGACAGGTTTAAATTGCTGATGAGATTGGAAATATTTGCCTGACATGACGGTGTTGTCAAAACATTCTTAGTCGGAGACTCGGCATAATTTTCAAGCTTTGGCATATTTAGCCCGTTATTCCATTCTGACCGTATGGCCGCGAAACGTAGCCTACTTCATTGTTCCGACAGCATTAGAGCAAAACTAATGACTTCATTATAATGCAAAGGAAATTTCCATAACATTTTCCATTTACAAATGAGGTATGCTTGGTAACCAGGCCAGGGACCACTTTTTTGAAATCAGGGACCATTTTACCGAAATCTGCTAGGCTCTCTCGCTGAAGCGTTCCGCACAGCACACCCAGGCATAAAACTTTTAAGACTTATTTAAATATATCAAAGCAGCGAATAGAGAGAGAGCCTGGGACTAGGCTGTTTGATCCCAACAGGTCAAGTTAGAGTAAAAAATTGAAAAGCAACACAAAATCAGGAGCAACTGCTGTAGGTGATCGTATAGAGTATAACCATAGATATCTTATATACACTAGATAGTGCATCCAATTATTCTGCAATACAAAAATTGAAGCCGTGATTGCAGACTCAGGATATTCCCATGAAATGAGAAGACTCGTATGTTTTCTATTTCTTAAACAGGAAACTCAAACATTAAGTTAAACCTATCCAAATATATTTTCAAACTATTCGAATGATGAAAGTTATTGTTGTTTTTTAAGCGTTTATTAGCGAGTGAGAAACTCCAACATGGCCGCCATCTATTCAAATGGGGGTAACCGCTGGAATATTCTTGGCTTCAGTTTTACTAAAAAAGATGCGCTATCTAGTGTGTATAAGATATCTATGAGTATATAACTCTGCGTACTCTGGAATGTTTGAACTTACAATACTTATCGTGCAATGGGTATTTTCAGATAATCTTCAACATAGCTGGAATGCAACCTTAATGTTCACTTTAGTGCTTTAGTTAATGTATGTTCATGGATACACAAGTAATTGTCGTAAAATATTTGGAGGGGGTTTCAGCCTATCCCCCACTTCCGCAGTCCAGATAAGTGGTACGTGGGGAATTGGAAACATGCATCTATACGAAGGGGGAGTATGGTCCACTCTCAGACCATCTTTTTATTTTTGAACCTCTTGGGCTTAATTTTAAAGTGCACCTGACCTCGTTATTTTTATCATCTCATTCTTAAGAACCTTTGAAATAATATAATGACTTATTTTGAAGATTTTCGTTTGCTCACTTTGTTTCTGAGTTATTTCAGTTTGTTTGGTATGCAAATATCCGGAATTTACGTCACAAATGCATAATGATTTAAAGTGAAAGCTTGTATATCGTATTCACTATCGAGTTTAATTCATTAAAATGAAGTTTGGACTTGTGGGAGGATTAAATATACTTATGCAGAACACCATTTAGCCTTTTTATTTCATCATATTTAACTGTACCTTACATTCTTTGATCAGTCATTATTCATATGTGACGTAAATTCCGGACATTTACACATCAATAAAACTGAAATAACTCAGAGACAAAGTGAGCAAACGAAAATCTTCAAAATAAGTCATTATATTATTTCAAAGGTTCTTAAGAATGGGATGATAAAAATAATTGAGGTCAGGTGCACTTTAAAACAATCACTGAATCATAACTGAATGGCAGTAATCCAGTAATATTGCTGTGCTAAGTGCAGTGATTCATACTCTTAAGGCCTGATTCCACGATGGAAATTCGAAAAATGGTGAAATTCGAAACATTTCGCGCGAAATGAATGTATGTGAATGCGCAGTGAAGACGCATTAGATTTCACATTTGAGTTGGGTGCGAGAATCGAATAGACTGATCACAGGGGCACATGAAAGGCGATCGGTCTGATGGCTGCGCCACTGCGCCTTTAGCCTTCAAGGTCCGTATTACTGACTGTTTGTTAGCCAATCAGGAGTCGGGAATTTTTTGACATTTGCGAACCGGCAATAAGTAAAAGTATCACATTTGTATTTTTATGACAATATGATGAAGATAAGACCATTGATATGTTAGGATATATACAGTATAATTATTAAGGGACTGGTCATAATTTATCAGGGGGGGGGGTGTGGAGGTGTAATTCAAAATTTTAAGGAATGATATTTTGTGACCCTGCTTTTCCATAACCCGGAAAAATAATGCCCCCCATGTGAGAAGGCATGTATAAAACAATTGATTGAACTAAAACAGCAGACTCCCTCCCCGCCTTCATAAACCGTCTAATATTTTATGAACCCCCCTTTTTCCTGGCTAAAAAATATGTGACCCCCCCACTGTTTCCACCTCCCCACCCCTCCTGCTAAATTATGACCAGTCCCTAAGCATGCATGTCCTTTGGCCTTTGGAAAGTCGTTTTATCTGCATGTTCCGCTGTTAAGACCAAAACTAGAATTAAGTATTTTTTCATGATTTGGCGTGCTCAATCGAGTTCGAGCACCCGGGAAGTTGAGAGAGTACGAAAAACGTAAGAGTTGCAACTCAACACTAGCGCTTGAATGCTCTCTCGACTTTCCAAGTGTTCAATAACTCGGTTGAGCACACCAATTCATGAAAAAATGTTTTTATTATTTATTACTGTGTCTATAAAGCATTCCCTAGTTATTATCGGCATACGTTATAGCCACGGTTGTGGCTATAAACCACGCCTGTTTTAGGCATGCCTTATAGCCTATATCAAGTATATGACTATTGAACACAAGAAAGGATGCACTGCAGTATTTTTTAAAAAAAGGATGCAGTGCAGGATACATGCACTGCAGTATTTACTTTTAATTATTTTCGTTGTTTATATACATAGTCCTGTTTCAACGAACTTTATAAAAATCTTTTTCTCATATTTTCTTTCGAAGGCTCAACATATTCCAACATAATATTATCTGTCAGTGACTCGACGGCGTCCAACATGAAAAATTCGTCCCAGTGCTCTTTCATTGCACGCTTTCCTAAGCCGGTATCCGTACCAGAAATTTCCCCGATCATCTTCCTTCGCTCCCAGTCCTCCGCAGACCGCAGTTTATAATGATGTAATCGTATGACGTCATAGGAATAGAAATTCTCCGACTTATAAAACTTCTTAGTCATCAAGCCATTAAACATTGCCGGCCAGTTAGCGAAAGGTATCATGTTTTCGTTGACGGCATGGTAGCCCGAAATTGACCCGAAATTATGTGCAGAATACACTCGATTCGTACGCTTCGGTTGAATTATTTGTTTCCATGTATGTTTAGGTATTTTCCACCGTCTCGTATAAGCTTCAATAATGAGCTTATTTTGAGGTGTTCTTGTCCAACCGTTCGATGTGAAATAGACCCAAGGCATCACAAGAGCTGAGTAGGTTTCATAAAGTTTTAGTATATCTCGCAAACCTTTATTTCCGCTCCCAGTTCCTGGTAGAATGAATTCATCCGAATCCAACATGGCCATCCAACGAGTGTCGCACGCATGACTTTCAATTGTTTCTTTTAAAAATAATTTCTGTGTCAGTATTTCCTCTGTTCCATCAAAGAGGGTAATTACTTTCTTGGGAAATTGTTTAATTGTCAAAAGGTTCGCCTTAATGTAAGGTCTTAACGTTTCCTCCAAGTTATCAGTGGAGTTATTGTCGTATAAATATACATGTTCAACTCCTTGCAAGAGGTGGAATTCCATCCATTCCGGCATATATTTTGCACGGTTTCTAACGATTGTTGTTATAGTCAGATAATACTTTTCGCTATTTGGTTTACACTCAGGCAGTTCCACTGGTACCCCGAAAAGATAGTGTGCATAGCCGTACGGATATAAGTTTGGTACTACAATAAATATAAACGAATTCAAAAGCAGAAATATTATCCCAATATGAAGAAATGCCTTCATTATCCATGACTTGTTATAACGTCCTATACGGCCCATTTTCCATTCAGACAATTCAGCGCTGGCCATGGCTAGGTACGGATATTTTCTTTTGGTGTTTGTCGAACATACATGTATATAAACAGAGTATGTTTCTGATATGTTTATTCATATCAGTCATGCATGGTATTCGTGATATAATTCGTTCCGTGCATTCATTTGCATCATAATTAACAGAATAGTGGTTTGGAAACTCATTAGAATAACAATATAACTCATTATCGATGTTAGTCAACGTTTATTCATAAATATGGCCCTTCACTGTCACGTGTTTATTCAACCTCGTACCCAGGGTAGACACTGGTCACATGATCTGCTAAATCTGGTAGACACTGGTCAGATTTTTAATTAGCAATCCAAGATGAGGTCAATAAATGTTTGATATTTGGATGATTTTTATAGTTTGATTTATAATTTACTAAAACTGTCTGTACCAGTTTGGGTAGTACCAATGTGAAAGTGCTGTGCTGAGTGGCATTTTGTATGATTGTCGCAAAGGAATCCAAGATAGTTAATTAGCTCCATTTACTGTTCTAGAACATTTGGAACACTGTTCTAGAACGATACGAAATGGAGTGCAAACGGTGTTCTGAAACAGTGTTTAGTTTATTATATATGCGTGCAACCATGCATTATATTATATCATTAGTTATTCGCATAGTAAATCGTATAATGATTTGCTGTTATTTGTACATCTAAGTATGCTTTTGTAACGTTTTTACTCGTTAATTTTGCCCGGTCCTGGCGTTCAAATAGCATATAATAAGTATATGTCGATATATAGCGGTTAACCCTTCAAAATAACACTCTATGCAGTGTGCATTGGATACACAAAATCTGTCGCCTCCATTTCCAATCACGCGAAAATGGGCAGTGTCACGTGTCTGTTCTGGCTGCTCCTACTCGAAAATCGGGGTAGTTCAGAACAGTCCAGAACAGTCATGTGACTGTCTTCTGTTCCATTCCATTAGTGTTGCGAAAATCCGGAGTATACTCCGAACAGTAAATGGAGCAGCTTGCTAGATTTTAGCTGGTCTCGTGACCAGCGTCTACCAGGGTTTGTTGTATTTTTGCAAAATCCACCAATAGCAATTTCCAATTTACCCTATTGTTCGAGTCACGGATAGGTAACTTTCCTAAAACATTGCTATTGAGTATTGGTTAGTTGGGCAGAAATACAATATACGCACGTGACGGTGAAGGACCATATTTATGAATAAACGTTGACTAATATATATAATGAGTTACAATGCTATTCTAATGAGTTTCCAAACCATCTATATTATATTAACTATGTGCATATGACCACAACTGTGTTACAATGCATCGGATCGGCTTTTGCTTCGTTCGCGAATCATTACGTCCCAAGGCCGAGTGCAAACAGCTTCCACCCTGTCCTTCTATGCCTTCGTATCTTCTTGTGTATATTTACCAAAAGCAAAAATATCGCAGACGTCATTTGAAAGAGTGAGCAAACTATACCCGTAAATAAGGTTAAAATAGCAAGTCTTTGTTTGGTAGACGCCATAGCGGCATAGGAATAGTGAATCCCGAATTGAACCCAAAATTGCTATGCGATTGGTGTTTACATTACAATGACTTTGTGCCTATTACAACGCTTGGGCCTCTTATGCAATATTTAGAATGGTTCAGGTAAGGATGGCTTTATTTCTGTTGATACAGCTAATTCAGAAAAGGTTGTCCTTCCAAACTCTAAAGCTGGAGTAATACGAGCAACAAAATTGCTGCAACTTGCAACAAAATCTGATTTCAACGCATGTTAAGTAGAAATGTTGACACATGTTGGCTGTTGCCTCGCGATGTGTAACTTATGTGTCAACATTTTCAATTAACATGCGTATTCTGTTGCAAGTTGCAGCAATTTTGTTGCCCGTATTACTCCACCTTTAAACTGTAGACCTTAAACTTTAAACTCTAAGCGCGATACAGCCAAGATTTACATCAGGTCTTTCTGACTAAATACGGCAAACACTGCGAGTTCTCATTGCCATTTTCGCGCTTAGAGTTTAAGGTTTAATGTTTAGAGTTTGGAAGGACAACTTTTTTGAATTAGCTGTATTCATGAAGGCATTAAGCTGTTTAGTGTGTTCGATATACAGTGTGTATAAAAACCCCTGAACCTTTCAAATTCAAATTAGCTATAACGTATTGTAGTAATTTGACAGCTCTAATTGCTTTGAATTAATGGTTGGATAAGAACACAAGGACTTGTACTCATGGGACAAAACTCAAAGACATAAGAATTAGAAAGTTTAAAAGAAATACTGTATTTCTTTTAAATTTTCTATTTTTTATTTCTTTGAGGTTTGTCCCATGAGTACAAGACCTTGTGTTCTTACCCAAACATTAATGCAAAGCAATTAGAGCTGTCAAATTACTACAATACGTTATAGCTAATTTGAATTTGAAAGGGTTCAGTTTTTTTTATACACACTGTAGAGAGTTTTTGATGTACGACGCGCCGGCTCAACGACGTCGAGGCGCTTTAGAAACAAAGACGTTTGCCATGCATAGATATCTTATATACACTAGATAGCGCATCTCTTTTAGTCAAATTGAAGCCAAGAATATTCCAGCGGTTACCCCCATTTGAATAGATGGCGGCCATGTTGGTCGTTCCCACTTGCAAATAAACGCTTAAAAACAACAATAACTTCCATAATTTGAATAGTTTAAAAACGTATTTGGAATAGGGTTAACTTAATGTTTAAGTTCCCTGTTTAAGAAATAGAAAACATACGAATCTTCTCATTTCATGGGAACGACCTGAGACTGCAATCACGGCTTCAATTTTTGAATTGCAGAATAATTAGATGCACTATCTAGTGTATATATAAGATATCTATGTTGCCATGCAAGACAAAAACTGTGAACTATTTAACGGGAAAAAAAATTTGCATTGGCGGATTGTTCGGTTGTTCCGCGATAGGAGTAGCTTTGAAGTTGCCATATGCCAAACAATATTTTGTACAAAAGCTGATTTTATTTTTTTATATTATACAGTATTCAGTATCTCATGGGTATGCTAATAAAGCTGCATATAAATAGGTTAAAGACAATACATTTCTAAAGGCTGATAATGCAAATCAAAAGCTTACATTGTATGACGTACCTGTTTCTATGGGTAGCTTCGCGACGCCACTGACGGAGAGGTTAAGATACCCCGGTTCACGGGTACGGGTGATATACCCGTACCCGTAAATCGGGGAATAACTTGAACTTAAGAAATCCAAGATACTCCGGTGTGAGAAAACCAATCAGAGAATGGTAACTTTCGCTGTTGAGGTTCGCCATAAATTGTTGAACACTTTGACGAGCATATGTGCATTATTTTTATTATATGGCAAGCATCGCTTCCGGTGAAATGGCGGACTGTGATTGGCTGAGAAGCACTTTTAGCGGTCCATTATTTTTAAACGTAAAAACAAACGCATGCATTTTAAAACAAAACACCAAAACTAATTGAAAATTTGAAAATTATAAGTTAATTTGTTATTTTAATAAGATATCTGCGAATGGTTTTTAGTGGAAAAGAAGGAATGAATACATTGGTATTTTTTGTTTTCTTCGACCGAATGTGTACCACGCCACTAATATGCATTTCAAATCATGCATTTCTTGTTTGTTTCAAATATAAATGCCATATAATAAACTTTTTATTAACCTCGCTTGCTCGGTATGTACAGAGAAATATCGGACCTCAGTCTTTTTGTACAAACCTCGCCCTATACGGTTAATAAGAAGTTGGGTGAGACTGTTGAAAATTTTTACTATTAAAATTCTGCTCGCAGGCACAAAAAAATATCGAGGCCTGGCAGTGGGTTCCTTCACCGACACGGAGTCGCCAAGTCTGATCTGAAAACTCGGACTGGATGGTGCATCTGCGCATCTAAAACTTAGTTTATTATACACACTCACGCGCACTTAACCAATCAGTAATCGTTGAGAGGGTCACGTGCCGATCCAATATTTTACGATATTGGACAGGAACCTATTGGACAGTTGCGAATCGTGGCTTTTTTCATGGTTTTTCAACCCTTTTCAGATGTTTTGTCAATTTCAAACATACGACAAACGATATGGCAGATTAATGAAAAGAATTTGGGACATTAATACAGTTTTTTCTACCAGTTTTGTTTAGAATTATAAAAGCGCGGGAAAACTTGTCTTCGCGAAATTTATTTGTTTGCAACAGCCTAGAAGTTAGTAATATTATTTTTTCGTTAAAATTAGGTCAAATTTCCTTTAAACATACATGGAATTGAGTTTATTTATGCACACATATTTGTAAAAACAGGTTTCTTAACTTTTTTTTAGTTACTTAAGCAAATTCGCCGCCGATATATGTACTAATGTTGTCGCAGTATTAGTCTCGCTGTATTTACTTTATCGCTTATTGACAATTTTGTTATAGAATTGTTTTGTTCGATATAATAAAACTCCTATTGGATTCATCTTCGCCCAATATGGCAAAATATTAAGTCTCGACTTCAATATTAGGCTCGACCTTCGGTCTCGCCCAATATTGAAGTCTCGACTTAATATTTTGCCATATTGGGCTCAGAACTACCAGTTCTAATACATCAGTAAGTTATGGTTCAGGTTATACGTAACTTTAATTTCTACCATGTACAGTATACGAAGGTGATATAGATTTATAATTAAATCGTACGGCTTAATACAGCAAGAACTAGTGGAGAAGTGCTGTCTATATTGCTTTCTTGTTGGTTTCATTAATAAAAATGTGTTAAATAAACAAGTTTTTGAGATTGGAGATTTGAGTAGCCTAAATCGGTCGGTCACATGTCCGGTCATAAAAAGCTTTGATCGGACAAAAGGTAAAATTTGGCCGGACAATGTCCGATGACCGGCACTAGTTTGCAGGCCTGTGTGACCGCCAAAAAACTAAGGGAACGGCCAAACGGAGAGTAATAAAGGGAGAGTTAGATCGGAGAGTAGAATTACAGCCACGCCCACTTTTTTCAAAGACCACACCCAATTTCATAACT